CCTCAACAAAGTTATACAGTCATTCAAAAAGATAATATAATTACAACATCATGAAAGTATCAAAATAAGACACCCTAGGTGCTGGTCAAGCTCTAAGTCTAGCCACTTCTCAAAGCAGCTACCCAAAAGACTCCTTTTCATCCCAAAGCCTCACACCTGATCTGCTCCCCCACATAGTGAGATCATCACAGTCCACATCATGGAAATATAAGGGTTAGCACGTATAAAACCAACCATAGTACAATAAAATGAAATATCATTAAACTAGATAGTCATCAACAATATGTATCCATACCAAGGGAATGACAACATTATAACAAGTCATTTCCATGCCAAATATAAACCAATCCAAAATCCAATGTATACACATCCATACCAATGCATACATATTCTATGATAATCAAGAATCCATAACCAATGTATACAATTCATACCAAATGCATACATATTCCACATCCAAACCAAAGTCACACCACTGTATAATCCCATGAAGTAGCCAACACATCCAAACCAAATGTTGACCTCAACACATCCAAACCAAGTGTTGAATTCGTGAACATGTCACCTGCCTATTATTTTTCTTTTTTTCATTTATTTTTACCAGAGTAAGGCATTGTTCAATGTCGTTATAATCCAAACTCTAACGCCATGGAATTATCGAGTTATTTAGTAGATATACTTTATGTATATATATATATATATATATATATATATATGTATGTATATCTATGTATGTATGTGTATGTTGTTTATATGTATTTGGATTGGATTTGGAGGTGTGGATTTGAATTGTACTTATCATTGTGCATGTTGTATAATTATGTGGTTTTGATTAGTTGTTTGGACATGGTAGTGATTTTGCAGTATGGAACGAGATATCGTTGTTTTGATGTGTTTATATAGGCATGTGTGTGCATGAGTGTGGTGAATGATGCATTGTACACCATTATACTGAATTGGTCTAGTAGGGAAGAAGACTGATCACCTTCCTTCTCATCTTTGTTAAGTGAAGTATTATGGCATGCAATTCGTTATTCCAAGAATATGTATATGAAAGTGATGTTTGTTTACATGTTAATACATGTTGCATTTCATATGGTGGTGAGTTGTGAGTATTGCATGGAAAGGAATAGGATGGGTAGGAGATTGAAGGATAGGAACTTAAGATAAATCTGGTCTTTCTGAGTGAATTTGAGGTTGTTTTAGAGCCTAGGAAGTTGAAATACTGCAAGGAATAAGATACTTGAGGTGAAGAGGTGCTAAGGGTGAAATTTGGAAATTTTAGAAAATGACTATATATAGGCACTTAGGACCGGAGGGTCTCATTAGTCAAACATAGACTGTTTCTAGAGAGAGGAAGTAGAGAGAGAGGCTCTGGTCTGGAGGGAAACTGAGGACACATTTGAGAAGCTTATCAAGTCAGGATCAATCTTCACAAATAGAGTTTCAAGAAATTTAACCTCTAAAGCCTTGAAAAAGGGATTAAAGTTTGAGTTGGAATTTGAGGATCTAGTAGAATCTTGCATTTTTGAAGTTCCTGAGGTAAGGGTAGTACTTATAAGACTTAATCTAGTATGTATGGTTTTGAGATATCACATTTATTCCATTATTTAGGCATGATTGAGGCTGGATTGAGGGGGAAGGGTTTTTTTAAAGGACAAAGTGTTGACTCAAAACGGACTGTTCTGGTTTTGGAACTGGCCATTCTGGGAGAGATTTTTGTACTTGTTCTATGTGCCCAGAACGGGCCGTTCCGGATTCGGAACGGGCCGTTCTGGCCGCGGCCTGGTGCCTGCCTATAAATAGAGCGTTTTGCACTCTTTAAAATTCATTTTCTTCATTTTCTTATCTTTTTCCTCCTTTCTCTCTGAAGACGAAGGGGAACCTAGAGGGGGCGACCAACAAGATTCAGCTCCTGCTTATCGAGGTAAGGGGGGAGTGAGGAATCTCGCTTTGGGTGTGGGAATATATGTTGGGTAGTGGGATTGGCCCCCGATCCTATGTTTGTTGTATTTTTGTATGCTCATGTATGACGGGTTTCTCCCAATTGTATCTGTTGTACTTATTATTTTCTTATATGCAATTAATTGTATGATTTGAGATCTCTATGGGTTCTTATAGGAAACCCTATGAGAATCAGACAAAATACAAATGTTTTCTGTTTTAATTTCTGATTCTTCTGTTGTACTTCTTATTGAATGAGATGTATGAATATGTGATTAATTTTGAAAATAGAAAAGTTTTGATATGAATTAGAGTGTTCTGTGGGTTTCTACGGAAACCCTATGAGAAAACAGGCAAAATACAAATGTTTTCTGTTTTGCTTTTTGAATGTTCTGTTACATTCCTTGTGTGATGTATAGTGTAAATATGTATTTGATTTTGAAATTAAATATGTTTTGATATGATTTAGAGTGCTCTATGGGTTCTTGCGGGAAACCCTATGAGAAATAGGCAAAATATGAATATTTTCTGTTTTGATTTCTGATTGTTCTGTTATATTCCCTGTTTGATGAGATGTAAAAATATGTATTTAGTTTTATAAATAAACGAGTTTTGATATAAATTAAAGTGCTCTATAGAGGTTATGTGAAATGTGATTGAGGCACGAGATATGAAAATGTCGTAATGTAATATGATGATATGATGAGATGATGTGAAAGTGATAATGAGACATGATAATGTGATATGAGAATGCATAGAGTCTTGATTGACATTCATCATTTACATAAGTGTTTTAAGGGTACAATATGGAATACACCGCCAGAGAAGGCCCCCTAGTGTAAAAGCTTTGGGAATTAGTCCTTGGGGATAGCTCGGTTTAGAAGTCCCAGTCTCGCCCATTGTGTGCATGGGATGTATCTTGCGCGGCTTAGCTATCCCGACGAGACTCTAGTAGTATATCCTTCTAGTGAGAGTGCGCAGAGGGTGTGACCCGACATGTACTCCTAGACTACTCTTCGTGTATTGCTAGCGGCAATATGCCATGTGATGTTTTACTGGCGCCACATGCATGATAATATGTTGTCCGTGTCCATACATGTGCATTTTCAATGTTATATAATAAATTGATATTTTTATGTCTTGGATGAGTGAGATCAAATATTGTTATTAATATATCTATGCTATATATGTCTTGTTTGTGTTTGACTATCCGGTATACAGGTGATCATCAGCGTGAGGCTGAGGATGTTGGTGATGAAGCTTAGGCTTCTATGTTGGGTTTTGCTCTGATAGGACATGTGACATCGGGACATAGATAGAATTAGTTTAAAGATGTTCTTATTAAATTATTTTAGAAAATTCAGTTTTATTTCTTTGTAATTTTACCGGCATGTTATTTGGATTAAGTTTATGAATATGAACTCTTTACCCTTACGTGGCTGGAAATTTGATTTTTAATGATGAAAATTTTTATATTTTTTATAATTACTATATATGTATGTTGGGGTAGAGGGTGTCACAGATAGTATAAAGTAGTTTTACACTATTGAATTCAATCACAAATTTTCATTTATGATTACATATTAAATTTTATAATAAATAAGGAAAAATTCATTCTAACAATGATATTTAATTAATTAACAATATAAAGTATAAGTATTAACCTCATACAATATTAATATATTTAAATTAAATCTATATAATCTATATATTTTCTCGTATATTACTTTTGTACTCAACATATTTATATATTTTTTATTCATAAAATATTAGTTTAGTAGTATTAAAAATTAGGCACATTTGCTTCAAAAAAAAAAAAAATTAGGCACATGTTTGTATGCCAAAAATTATTTTTTTCTTTATTAAGTGATTTCTTTTTGTTATTGATTCCCTTTAAATCGAAATTATAGCTCCGTCATTGAATTCAATGCTCGCACAGCATTCCTATATGTACGTTTCTTTCTAATCCATAAAAAACCCTAAAAGACTAAAATAAATAAGAAAACCAAATAACTCAAAATCTAGTCAATAGAAATCTAGAATGAGGATTTGTTTTAATTTTTTAAAATAATCATTAGACGGATATGTAAACAAATAGTTTATCTATGAACATAATTGTACGTATGAATAATCCTTGGGAGAGATACAGCAAAGAATATGTCCAAATATAAAGGAGGCCTCAACTTAACAAGAAAAGGACCTGTTACTTGCTGACCTTAAACAAAAATATATATACGTGTAGTTAAAGTCTCATATACCTCTTAATTATTTTCACTTTCTTTCATGTCCCTTTCTCCTATGACTTTATTTGTAATTTATATATACTATCTTCCTCTACTTCTACTGTTTTCTTAGGGATACAACTGTATCTTGGTTTGAAATATCAGAATTAAGACGCATCCTTTGGCTCCATGCATTTGACTTAGTTTCCATCAAGTGTGGCTGTTGCTTTTTTATTTATTTATTTTTATTTTTCCTCTTATCCTTCCAATTACATCGACAACAACTGAATATACAATTATATATATATTATCCCAATTGTATCATTAGATAAAATCAAGTGGTTTTAATCGGCATTTTTCATTTTCATCTTTAAAATTATCACCGACACTCTCTTGTTAATAATTTTTTTTCTGTTATTAGTTAAAAATAATAAATTTTAATAGGTTCTATCATTAAATCATGAAATTAATTTATTGAATAATTGGTAAAATAATTTGTGTCACAAAATTTGTAATTTTAATAAATTTCAATCAATAATAGAGTGTTATTTTTTACAACATAATAGAGAGAATATTAAAAAAAAAGTGTTAGAGGGAGTATTGCTTACTTTATATATATATATAT